CAAATGTGAAAGAGAGTCAAATGACTAGCACCATAATTATTAAAAAATGGCTAAACACCATACATGATGCTCTAAAAATTGGAAAATGAGGAGAACAAGTAAAAGGGTACCACCACACCAACTGACCCACCAGCTAATGTAGGTGACATGATAGATGGGGAGAAGACAATACATGCCAAAGGACATATGTAGAGAGAGAGAGAGAGAGAGAGAGAGGGGGCCATTGTTTTGGCGGTGATGATGATGATGTGGTGTTTCATTGCTCCATATGCAATGTCACACCTCTAATTACTTGAGGAAGCTGAGAATTCACAGTCAATAAGTATGCTTATGGCCGTTTGTTGGCATGCATTTTGTTTTTGATATTTTGTTTTTGGTTAAAACAGAAATAATGTTTTTGTTGTAGAGTGTTTTGGAAAAAATTCAAAAGCACGTTTGGGAACTATGCTTTGATGTAGATATGTCAGAAACAAAAACATGTAAAACATGTTTGGGCACACAAATAATATATATATATATATATATATTTTAATTTTTGTAATAAGCTTGTTTGGAGGTCTGCCGACTGAGAGAGAAACGGTGAGAGTGACATTGTGGTGGAAATGAAGCTTGTTTGGAGGTCTTGAGAGGGACCCAGATGAGATTAGTTGGGTTTTGAGGGGCAAAACCAGTATTTGGGTTGTGGAAGAGAAGCAGAGTTTGGTTTGAAGAAGAAGACAGAGAAAATAGAGGACTTTCATGGCTTTCTGATAGATAGATCAAAAAAGTTTCTTTGGGAAATAGAGTTTGGATCTGGTGATTATTCTGTAGAAGAAGAGAAAGAGAGTGTGCATGTGTTGAGAGAGAGTTTGGATTTGGTTGCTGGTTTTCTGAACCAAACAACGCCGCCTCTCATCAGATTCAGAACCCATGTACAAAGAAATCTTGAAAAGCATGTGCATAGTTGCTTTGTTAGGAACCTCTCTCTTATGAACCCCCTTTTTTGCATAGTCGACCCAGTTGCAGAGAGAGAGAGGAGAGGGCAAGTTCAGGTCTGAGAACGAGAATAGAGATTGAGGCATTATTTATAAGTAATAATAGGTTTTGATTCTTGCAGACAGATAGATAAACTGAAATAAATGGGTTTTGAACTTCTGATTCTCGTAGATTTGGGCAAGTTCAGAGTAGATAACGAGAATAGAGATGGAGGCGATTGGAAATCGCCTTTAAATCATAGAGAGAGTATCGGGAGAGGAGAGAGAAAATTTGTGCAAAAATGACCTAAAATGTTTATATAGCTGAAATAAAATGGGTCGGCTGTTTTTTCCGCTACAGTGAAAATTTGCCTAAACAGTGTTGAAACATGATAAAACACCATTTTGGTGTTTCAAGTTTTGGGCCTCTTTAGTGAAATGTTTTACAACTATGCAAAACAAAACATTATCAACCAAACATGTTTTGGGCTTCATTTGGGCTACTGCAGCGGGCCTGAAACAAAAACAACAAAAACAAAGTAGATGCCAAATAGCCCCTTACTGTTACATGATGTTGCTCAACGTACCATACATATTATATATATGTGTGTGTGTGTGTGTGTGTGATAATTCCATAAAAATGAAGTTTTGGGGGTCAAAGGACAAAAGAATGAAAATACAAACTGGCGAGTTACGGGTGCACAGTCCCATATCACCTGGGTAGAGAAAATGTGAAGTGCTTATATGTAGGTGTGTCACTCCAATTGGTATGAGGCCTTTTGGGGTAAAATTTAAGAGTAAAACCGTGCGAGCTCAGACTCAAAGCGGACAATATCATACCATGTGGTGGAGTGGGTCGTTACAGAAACATTTGATTAGAATATTAAACATTTGTAACTCAACAATCACGAAATAATCTGCTCATCGAGTTCATAATTTTAATCAAATCATTGGCTAAAATTCGTTAGAACATGATAGATTAATTCCCTAAGAATTTATTTTTCTATAAATCAAGTTGTAAATATATATAAAAGTATAAAGCAAGATTAACTTGCCTGGAAAATGCTAATGCTTCCTTTTTACGCAAATACCCGACCACCGTCCCTTTTTTCGGCTATTGCAGAAGGCACAACGTCAGATCTCTCTGTCTCTCTTTCTCTCCTTTATTTATTTATTTATAGAATATCGTATGTATCCTCTTACTACTGATATAACGTGTAATATATAAATAGAGTGATAACTAGTAGTTGAGATAATTTAGGATTCCTTCAAATTTAAAAGACAATCCCTTATCTCAAGTATTCATTAATTAAAATAACGATATAGATATATAAAAATATAATTATACATAAATTACGGGTATTACATTCTACCCTCTTAGAAAGAAATTTTGTCCTCGAAATTTGAATACCTTTATTCAATGTCTTGAGGCGTCTTCTCAGAATCCTCTTCACAATCATCCACTTCAATTTTCATTTTCTTGAGAGGAACTGAGTTAACGTTGGGTCCGCAAAATGGAGGCCAATCTCGTACACAAGAAACCTTTCTCGGTTCGTAGTTTGGGATAACACCTATTGGAATAGAACTTCTGATATCCATTCCTGCCTTTTGAGTTCTCCCTCGCATATAAGCCAATAAATTATCCTTATACTTTGGTTTGTCCCCATTAATTTTCTTTCCAGTCATTCTAATTCTAAAATGCAACCAGATATAAAAGAACTGGAAACCTTTATGTACAAGCAAGCACTTGAATTAAATATATATTATACACACACACACACACACATTTTAATAACATGAATTAAAAATGTCTTTGTTTGGGTTAAGTAATTGATTTACTAAAGAGATGAATATGTGGGTATTTATGTATCAGTAGTATAATCTATTAACCCTTCATATATATATATATATATATACTTGTTTTTGTAATTATGAACCCTTCATCAGTAAGCTTAGATAGATATCATAAGGAAAGTGTAATTTTCTGTTATGATTGCATTAATTGGTTGATTACTCATCCCTTTTAATTAGTTCAGTAGTTGATTAATGTATGCCTTTTTAATTAGTTTGACTACTAAATGATTAAAGGTTAGTCTAAAGTATGAGGTTATGAGTTGGAATTATTGAATATTAATGACCTTTATTAAATCTGTATATTAGAGATTTATTTAATGGATGAGTTAGATTAGTCGGAGGGGTAGTCAGGGACTGACCATATGATGACTTTTTGGGTATGGTCAAGGATCTGCCTAATCGGGAGTGAACTACCTTTTTATTATAGCCATGGGTCTATTGAGCCCTTATCATGTGGACGTGGTCAGGGGCCATCTGAGTGAGTAGACGTACCATCCAGCCACATATGTGTATTTGGTAGTTAGGAACTATGCAATTCACACCATTTATTTGGAGTGGAGCCAGGGGCTCATGTGAGATAATGGCGATAAAACAGCCAACTGTTTGAGGGGAGCTCGGGGCTCATGTGAGATATGTGAATTTAATAACAGTAAATGATGGCTAATTAATAAGTTTATAATTAACTGAAGTTAAGTAATTTATTTTGTTAATGCACTTATTGAGTTGCTTATATATATGAAAATATACGGTAAGGTTAATTTGCTGAACGATGATTGTGTTTAGCATTTATTGCTGAGCTTGTGAGCTCATCCCATTATCACATTTCAGGTACATGTTGAGTAGGAACGTGATGGGATCATATGAAGACGATGAATTTTAGCTAACTTTTCGTATATTTTGGTTTAGTTCAATTTTTTTTCATTGTTAGGATCATTGTAATAAGAATGACGATATGTTTTTTGAGATTTAGTTCAGTTTGTCCAGTTATCATGGATTATTTTTTATAATGTCGATTATTATTATGGTTGTACCGATTTAATTAATTAGAGGGAGATTTACATGTACTTCTTTATTTAATTATTTTTTTATTTAAAGTTGTTGTTATGGAAAGAAGTCATGCCAATTTTTAATACGAGACAAGTGTTCATGTATTTAAGATTTTGGGACGTGACAATTTGGTATCAAACCATGTGGTGGAGTGTGTCGTTACACGTGATAATTATAAAAATTGGCATGACTTCTTTACATAACCACGATGTGAACATGAAAATTTACTGTACATCATATTTTTATTTTCAAAATACCATTCTATTGTTGTTATGAAATTATGTTACTACCCTTCATATTTAGAAAGAGAAACCCATTTATGGCAACCTTTTTCCCCAAACGAGCAACCAACAAACCTGAGAAATTCATCCAAAACTTCTAGTCATTTGTACTTTTCTAATGATTAAATGGATTTGCTGGTTAAGTGGATAAAAGAAAGAGATGGCCAATCAAAAAGAAATAATTGTTTTTGCCAGTGCAGATGAACACATTCAAAAGGGGCTGGTTTAAGGGTGTGCGAAAGATTGAAGAACCCATTAAAAGTATTCCACTATACTAGAGAGAGGGCCTTTCACCCAAAGAAAAGAAAAAAGCTCGAGGCATTCAAGCACAGGCGTCAAATGCAGAGGCAGAAAGAGATCCATAACAACAATAGAATGGTATCTTGGGAATAAAAAAATGATGCACAGTAAATTTTCATGTCTACCTCAGACTTTGAGAAAATTTCATTAATTTGTAAAACTTAATTTTGACTTCATTCTTTTGTCATTTCACCCACAAAACTCTATTTTTATGAAATTATCCTTATATATACACACACACACGTGCGTATGTCAAGGCAAGAAGGGTGCCCTGGGAAACAAGAAAAGAAGCAGCTATATATGAAGCAAGGCAAGAGGAAATGGGGTAGAATTTATTACATGGTGCCTGATTATTAAGTCGACCTGACATCCTGACATGTAAATAAATGTGTAAACTTCATGTAATTTTTTTTCATGGGTGACCATATGAGAAAGAGTGTTATATATACAATCCTGAATATATTCCCAGATTCATGAGTAACAGACCAAAACAAACTTGTTTTCCCTGTAAATGAATTCTGAATCCATCCACGATGACCAGGTTATTTTCGTGGACAAAAAGAAGTGAGAAAAAACAAAATTGTGATATTAATCAACTATTAATTTCCTCATGTCTCTAACAACTGTATACCTAAAAAGGCTTTAAGATACAATATGTCAAATATATATTTTGAGTGAAGTAACTAGGGTTTATCCAAAAAAATTAAATAAATAAATAAAAACTGGGTTAAATTAAAATTATCTACCTGTCTACCCGCTAGGATCTCTACACTACCTTGAATACTTTCATGACCTGCCAGCTTCTTCTGCCTCACAAGAATTGCCAATTTGAGCATGTTGAGTCCTTGTACCCATGACTTCACCTAAGGTAGAAGAAGACTAGTGTCTGCTCCCTACAAATAGCTCGTTGGCCATTCGCGAAGCCAGGTCCATCCGACTGTCATTACTGAACCAAAAAAGCATTTATAAATACCACAACCACTTGCTTTTGAAAAGAGAAGAGGAACAATCACAGTGTCTCTTCTCAGCTCATCATCCCATATAGAGTCTGAGAGTCAAAATCATCCTCAGCTGGCGTCATGTTTAGATCCGGTAGAATAAAGCCACTTTCCCAGGTGTCAATGCCGCTTTGATCTTTGCAGGAATCAGCTGCTGCATGTGTTGGCAACAGCGGAAAATGATCACGAGCGGATGCTTCTATTAGATTGTGTTGAGTGGAAATTGCTCCCTCAGGTTCATGTGAAATTGTGCCCATCTTATTTGCTGCTTGCAATTGCATATCAAGCTGCCAAAAGAGTGTAATTTTTACATTACTTTCTATCTTTTAGATTTTGAATGTCATCAAGAAAACTAATAAACGATAAAAAATAAAAATGAGTACATTATGTGCAAAACCGAAGCTAGAGGAGAGTTATAATTATGCTGAAACAGGATTCACAAGGAGAAAACTCAATGCAGTGCATGCTTGAAACCACTGGATCCAATCCTCAATGGTATTATTTTATCTGTGTTGCAATGTCAAGCAACTCTAAATTATGTCACACGACATGTTGACATCAATGTCTCAGAGCTTTTAAGTAATTGGTCCTCCATTTGCGAAGGAGAAAACTAGTCTCTACTACAACTAGTAACATATATAGAAAATATTCACAAAGAAGAAGAAGAAGAAGAAGGAAAAAAAAAATGAAAAATGAAATGAAAAGAAAAGAAAAAAGATCCCCCCCCCAAAAAAAAACATTTTTATGTATTGGTATTTTATTAGATAATATTAGCATTATCTTAAGGTTAATAAGATAATTATTAACAGTTTTAGGATAAGAACAGCTTATATATATGTTTGTGTGTGCACGCGCGCGCACGTGTATCAATAGCTTTTTAGAGAATAAAATGTGGGACTTTTTTTAATCTTTAGCCTTTAGGAGATTGGTTTCTCAAATTGAAGCAACCCCAGGCTTCAAAGTTCAAACCCTTCCAAAAGGGTTTTTATTTCCTCCATTCTATTTATATATTTCCTTTTATTTGGCTGTGCATTTGCATCGATATTACTGTCACACATTTCCACTCATATACAGGTTCGAAACTAAATTCACAGGATTGTACTTCATAAAGGGGCATAAGAAAAGAGAAGTGGCGAAAGGTCAAGATTCTACTTTCGACACACCTTCCACTCACACACACTTTTTGACCACACCGGGCGGAGGGTATGCCATTGGGCCACATGCCCCTTTGGTCACAAAACAAGCATTTGAAATGGTAAACTTACAGTGCTTCCCATTTACAAGATTTAGTTGTTGCGTACTTGAGATGCAATTGCTAGCTAGGACTCAAACCAACCTTAAAGAAAGATTACCTATTCCTATGATTATATATATATATATATATATATACATATCCTACAGAAATATATTGTATATTTTTTGAGTTATTTTATGATCATCTAGACCATAATATTCAAAAACTGAATCTAATTACTAATAGAATCAATGTTCTCACAGGTCTAATATTCATTTTAGATTCAGTAATGATAAAAATAACTCTAATAATCATTTTTTTTTTCCCTTCCAAATTACAATCAATTAGGAAAAAGGCAATTCAACAGTGTCAGTTACGACTTCCCGTTAATCAGGCTGCCATAAATGCGAAAGGGTGTAATCTAGTCTTTTGACTATGTGATTACCCTAGATTAGTAGCAACATTGACATGCTAAGCAGTCCCAATTTTTACCATTTAACCAAGCAGTAGGAACTACTGAACTCAATTCATTTATCATTACTGATATCACCAAGGAATTGCTACAATTTTGACAATTGACAGCCTGAGTTTTTTACCATTATACCAAACAAGGACCTACTCAATTTCATTAAGTAATTGGAAGAAAAAAAAAATAGTAGTTTTTTTTGACATTCCCTTCTGAGTAGACAGAATAGCAGGTTGCATAAAGGCAGAGGTTCCGATAACGGAACAGAGAAAGAAAATAGAGAAGGGTTACCTTGATCCTTTTCAATTTATCACTTTGGGCTCTTTGTTCCTCAAGTGTTATGCATAGTGTTACTAACTCCTGTTTCAGAAATACAAAAAAATATTAACAAAAGGATAATCACAGGTATTAGAAAATGAAGACGAGACCGGTGAGATTTCTTGGGAACGTGCCTTCTTCAAGTGTATCCTTTCATTCAACAGCAAACTTTCTTCCTCTTTAAGTTCAGAAAATGTCTGCCAAAAGTCGATAATAAAATTCCCTCAATGTTACAATTCGAGATTACATTTATGGATAAAAAGAGTGTTGGGCAATTACATAAGAACGGAAAGAACTATCAAACTTCTAAAATTATGAAAATAAAAAAGAAAAAGAATAATTAATGTGTAAACATTTGAAATTCAATAATGTACCACCGTATCGTGCAAAATGTAGCAGTGGTACACTTTTAGCTACACTAATACATAACGTACTTAACATTGGTATATTTGAGCTATGTACAAGTGTAATATTAAACTAGACATTGGCATTATTTTGAACTGCTTACATTTGTAATATCTCTTACAACTTTATTACATGTTTTTTGCTTTCTTCACCCTTCACAAAGTTTGAAGCTTGTTTATATATAATTTTTTTTCTAACTGCACATCATTTTTTATTATTCTTTTTCATGAATATGTATTCTCTTCAAGAGTGTTTTTACATTCCTCTAAAAGAATGATCAGAGTATTGTGCAGGACTTATAAACATAAATTCAGTATGCTAAAGTAATGTATATTTTGTCTAATAAAAGCAAATGGTTCCATGGTGTAGTGGTTAGCACTCTGGACTTTGAATTCAGCGACCTGGGTTCGACTCCTGGTCGGGACCTATTAATTTGTTTTTGTTTTTTGTTTTTTTAATCCCCAACAAAAGATAGAGAGAGACAATTGAGATTGTCCCAGGGATACTAGAAGTTACCTTCTTTCTTCTTGATCTCTTGTTGTTGGTTGTGGTAGTATTTTCATTTGTGAATGTACCCTGTAAACATCCATTATGCAGCATAAGTTAATAACTGTATCAATAATGAAATTGCCAAATAAAAAACACAACATAAGCATAAGCCTTTATTGTATGTACTCGTATATATGGGTACATTTCTACCGAGGAATAAAATAGGAATGCAAAACAACGGCAAGAAACTCACCCACCATTTTGTCCCTACAGGACTTGAACCCTCACCATTCCTTTTGGGAGGCAGAGGAGATACATATTAAATTTTTGTATAAAAATAATAAATACGGGATCCAATGAAAATGAGCCTCCATAAAATTTTAGATGATGCCGGGCATCATTAGACATGTGAGCAAAAAAATTAAAAAAGCTTACACATTTCCAACACAATTGCTTACGTGTTCAATGACAAGTAATACCATATACCCTCGTGTGTCTTTCGAAATATATATATATATATACACCCTTGTGAATTCACAGTAAGTTAGTAGCTTTTTGATGTGGTAGTGTGCGGGCCCTGGGGCCTGGACTTATTAGCTAAAGAAGGAGGCCGAAGAAACAATGAATTCGCTTAGAAAAGTAGTTTCTTTATCCAAGCAACAACATTCCATCTAAACACATTTTAATGTAAGCTGTAACACTATTATTTCCTGTTAAAATTCCAAATAACCATACCTATAAGCTTAAGTATATAAATATGAAAAATAATATTTGACTCGATAATTAGAGGTGAAACACTAATCGAAAATTTTACTTACACTTCAACATATCACACCTTAAACTAGTGTTTTATAACATATGTAAGGAAAGAGTTTGTGTTTTAGATCCCATATATCGTTTGTTTGTTTATTTATTTTTTTCACAAACTTGTTGGTTAGGGTAAAGCATTATTCATATACTATATAGTATAACTTAGGTCATTACTATAAAACTAAGCCCCTTTCTCAAGTGGTTCACCAACCCACTACTCAAGTTTGTCAAAAGACCAGAATACCCTTCCGTTGCGTTCAAACTTTTAACTACATTGAAGGCTATATTGGTCTAGTTAAATTTAAATGTAGACCAACAAAGACAAAAATTTATTTATTTATTTTTTTTTTGGGAAAGTTCACAAGAAGACACTGAAAAAAAATAATAATAAAAAAAACAAGGAGGAAGCTTCGTGGTTACTTTTTTTTGTTCTGACAGAACTGTCCTTGAGGGCAAGCCTACTTACTTTGAATGCAAGGGTGGGTTGGTCAATTATAATAACCGCTATCCTGATGAAAAAGCCGACCGACAAGAATGACATGTCACCGGAAAAGAAGCGAGAGGAAAACGTAAATAACTTTTCACATCAACTGACCTCACGTGACGGAGGTAATTTTCAAAAGTACACCAGGGCATTTCTGTCAAAATAAAAAGAGGCTACGAATAGTAATATAGAGAAACATACTATACGGATCAGCAGTTCACGATTCAGAAACCGCTTGATAGGAGATCAAGCGGTTCAACTGTCCCATGAAAGCCAATAGATTTACGAAATTGCCCTGACCATGAATATCAACTCAGAAATGAGAATTGACCGCGAATTGTGCTCGCTGCTCGCAGCTCCGTACAGTAAACAAGGTCAACCAGGAGGGGTACAGTCGTAATAAAAACAAAAATATGGACTCCTAGAGCCGAGAATATCTCGTCGTCGACCTCATGAACTTTCCACCTCCAGGGGCAAATCGGTCAATCGAAACAAATCTAACACATGATACCAGCTGGCCGGAAAGCTGACGCCATCGCCGGAAGAAAAAACCCAAAAGTGACAAAACGCGTGAAATGTCTTCACAGATGTAAAATAACAAAAGCGAAGACTTTCGGATTCAAAGAGTGTCCGGAAGTATTAACACCATCAACAAAAAGTCTGACACAAGATGTACGTCGTCGCCGGAAATCTGACTATCGCCGGAGACGAAGAGAATGACAAGAATAGAAAGGAAGTCGGAGATACACAAACGAACCTTAGATCTGTCGGTGGAGGACCGGTGGGGATGAAGCCAGCTGGATTCGTCGTAACCGTCGCTGGTGGAGGCGGCGCCGGCGCTCCAGGAAAGCGGCGTGGTGGGGCTACACCTCGTCAGCTCCCTTTCCTTCTCCTTCCTCGTCGGCAGTCTGGAACGCGGCTGTTTGTGTCCCCAACAGAACGGCAGCAAATTCGCCGCCGGCGACAAATAAGAGGCCGGTGAGTGCTTCAGCCGAAGCAACAGCTCCGCCACCAGTTCCTCGTCCGTCAACGCTGCTGTGAACCAATCGTCAGATGTCATCTTCGTTTTTAGAGAGCGAAATCAAGAGAGAGAGAGAGGGGTAGTAGCTAGAGGGATAGAAAGAGGGTGGCGCAGAAAGAGAAAACCTATGCGTAGATTACCATCAATGACAAAAATGGGTTACTAACTGTTTATATACCATGTGTGATTGAAAACGTGGATATATTTATTGAGAAATGTTAATGTGCGTTGGATCTTATTACGGTTGTCATGAGCTCATTTTTTTCTAAAGTCGTCAAAGTAAACTGATAAGTGACAAATGGTATTAAACTCAATTCTTAATTTAAATCTAGCAGTGACATAGATTTAAATGTGAAAGTAAGCGAGTGAGTAGTTGTATCATTAATATCATTTGGGAATTTTTATTTTTATTTTTATTTATTTTTATATTTATAAGTGTGTGCATTTCTTAATTTTATAAATACGTTTTAAAATAAAAAAAATCGTGAATATCAGGAGAAGAGTTTGCAAAGCAAAGAAAATAATTCATACTATAAAATAAAATTATATGACACACTCAGCGAATAAAGATACTAAAGTGAAAAGGAAAAAATATATATAAAAGCTTTACAAAATAATATGAAATTCACCTTTAAGACGGTCCATCGCCGGGATGATCAGTCCCGACTCCAATTGGTTGATGGCAAGTAGAAAGTTGAATAAAAGTGAAACAATACATATTTATTCCAAGAAGAATGTTAAAGACACTAGTGCTGTTTTTATTGGTTGTGGTTTATCTCATTGCATGTCTCTTACATATTTACAATTTTAACTCTTTTTTTTTTAAAGATAAAATTACCCTTTTTAATTTATTCTTTTCTCTTATTTGGATAATTCAGGTGTGTGTATATATATATATAGCTAAATCTTTCCATACGCATTCTTTTTAAATACCTGTCTTTCTTTTTCTTTTTCTCTACTTATCTTTATGTATTTCTATTTATATATACACAATTTTAACTGTTATTTTTTTTTATCAATATTGTAACTCTTTTTATTTTTAACAAAATCATATCATCTCTCACAAAATAAATTAAAATCAATTTTACAATTTTACTTCAATTAGAACTCAATTTCATAATTTTACTTCAATTAAAACTTTCCATAAAAAACCACATTTAATATACATATATATATAAAGAATCCATCCAAAGTAAGAATTACGTGAATTCATGAAAGCATATATATATATATATATATATATAGAAATAGTTAAAGACAATTGGGAAAAGAAAAAAATAAATAAAAAAATCCATGCACATAAGGTTAGTGTATATACGGATGCATGTATGTATTTGCAAATACATAAAGACAAGTACAGAAAAAGAAAAGAAAAAAACTAAAAATACAAAGAAAGGTAACTAAAAAGAATGCGCGCGCGGCGCACACACGCTTATATGATCCAAAATATATTATCCGAGAAGAAGAAATTAAAAAGGGTAATTTTATCTATAAAAAAAAAAAAAAAAAATTAAGTTTTTAATGTGAATTGCATGGTATAAACTACAACCAAACTAGGGCGAATGTCCTTAGCATTTGAGCGTTGAAGCTCTCTCTTTGTGTTGGACTCTCTTCTTACTATCGAAGATGAACTTGAAAGATTAGAGAGGATGAATCGCATTTTATTTTTATTTTTTTTTTTTAATGTTATTTTATTGGTGTGAGTATCACGACTCCTTGTGTGTCAGTTAATAGTATTCGTCTAGTAATTATTCTCATATTTGTATATTTTATACACGAGGTATAGAGAATGGAGACAAACTTTGGACCAAAATAATGTACAAACAAAGCAGCAGTTGGTATAATTGGTTACAGCACTACTTGCTTTAAAGAGCACGAATCTTTCGTTCGCTCGCGTGTCACGTGTAAATTCAAAAGTGTTACTTTCTGTTTTATATATATATATATATATATATATATGTGAGTAAAAATTAGTGAGCACAAAAATTTGAAGATTGAATTTTAAGCATTGAAAATTCAGTGGTCGTAGACACTAGAGGGTCTCAATAGTCAATTCTGACTTTGCAAACACGAACAAAGGTGTTGGCTGTTCCGAAAGATCCTAACCCTTAGGTGACTGCGTTGAAAGTTGAAATTTTGACTCCTAATTATTTTTCTTAAAATTTTAGTGTGAATTGTAAATTTAATTTATATATATATATATATAATTTTTAGAATTTTGAAATAAGTATGATTTAAAAATTAAATAGTAAATTGAGTTATTTAGACACTTTTTCTGGCAATACAATTTTTAAAAAAAAAAAAAAAATTAAAAATAAAATATAGGATCGAAACATGACACTTTCTAAATTTATCGGAGACACCGATTCACTGAACGACAGTGACTATCAATACAATCAATAGTCATAAGAGAGTATAAACAATAAAGACTAACTTTATTGACCTCAATTGGTATTGAAATGTTCTCTGATAACCCAACGTGTATGAATCTATGATACATTGACCTGGTAAATAAGAGAGTATAAACAATAAAGACTAACTTTGTGGCTGACTGAAAAACCACAATGCTAAATGTATATTCTGAGTATTTTTTACTAATAGCTCTTGTATTTTCTATATACATTTTAACGTCTTTTTTCAACGAAAAGGAGTATTCAGCATTAAACAATTCTTATTAACTATATCACATTTTTTTTTTTTAACTACACAATGTTTGACTTGAATAAGTTACCTCTTTATTCAATATTTAGTTACCGTATTGAATTATGTCACTTATTTCAACATTTGACTTATGTCAATAACAATTTTTATTGACAGACTAATGTCTTAACAGTACCAAGTTTTTACTTCTCATAGAAAGATAAGGGGGTTCTAACTTCTAAGACTAAAATATCTTTTTTTAAAAAATATTTTTTTTCTTAGCTAAAATAATTTTTTATTTTTATTTTTTAATATTTGGCAAAAGTCTAGGTAGAAATTGAGATCGAATTCATTGGTGGGACGTGTAAAATAATTTATCAAAAATTAATGAGTAAGATATTTTTATTAAATTTTAATATTTTTTTATTCATAAATATTTTACGACAATTAAATATCAAAAAAAAAATTTAAAAAAATATTTCACATTAAGACTTCGTTTGTTTCGACACCAGGCGATGTGGGACTGTGCACTCGTAACTCGTCAGTGTGGTAGCCTGACAGTATCTCTCGCACCCACCCACGGCACATCCGCCCACAAGGTCATCACAATCCACCCCCTTGGAAGCCCGACGTCCTCGTCGACACACTTCCGGCTGGGTCAGGCTCTGATATCATTTGTAACGACCCACTCCACTACAGGGTATGATATTGTCCGTAAAATATTCTTTTCAGAAAATATTTTTCTTTTTCATGTAAAATATTTTTTTTATTTTATTTTATTTGTATTTGTATTTGACAAAAGTCGATGTCGAGATTGAAGTCAAGTCCATCAAAGGAGGCATGTAAAATACCTTACCAAAACTTTATCTTACCAAAACTTTATGAATAAATTATTTTTATTAATTTTAATATTTTTTTTCTTTGTAGAATACTTACAACCAAATACCAAAAAATAAAAAAAATATTTTTTGAAAAATATTTTACGGAGCCTGAAAATAAATCAACTTTTGGAGTGAATAAATCATCTTTGACCGGGGTGTGTGTATACATATTCATTTGGCAAAAAATTCCCTTACATTTGACCTTGATTTCATAACACCTCATTGGCGACTGCATGTTCTTTTCAGCTCTTTCTTTTCAAAAATGGATTTCAATTATCAATTTTTTTTTTCTTTGGTGAGGATAATTTCAATGATCAAATTCAGATACTACATTATTAGTATTTGTACCACCACCAGTAACCAAATCCACTCGCAAGATATACAGAGTAAAAGAGACTAAAAATTCTCTTTTAAATTTGTTTATTCTGAAACTAAACTGTGTTTCGCTGCATGAAATTAAAATTTTAAAATTAAAATTAAAAATTAAAAAATTAAACCAAAATTCTCTCCTCTCCAAATCGCAGCTCGGCGACGAGATCTGTTTGGATATCCAAATCTCCAATTCCATGAAACCATGACTCAGAATGCTATGATTTTTACCATTCCAATTTCGACATCACAGCCGGAAAAGCTGCTAATGCAAATGTTTCCATTGGTCTAAAATAAGGATCAAATATAACACAACTTGCTTTGTGCCATCACTAGCTATTATAATAAAGTCATCTGATTCAGTTCACTTTTATCACTATCACCTCTTGCTCGCAAATTACATAGGTTTCATATATACAAGGATCACCTGAATCAAAGTTGGTAAAATAAAGTTATTACAATCACTTAATTGTTCGTTAAGCTCTTCCAACAAGATCAACCATATAAAACATTAGAACACTACTATACAAGCTCAATAAATTGCTGCTGCTTCTTACAAGCTCAAATAGCTATCGAATAAAATTTCAAACTTTCGTTACCAAAGCAAAGCTCATACTGACAACTATTAAAATAAATCTTAATAATTAGATTAATTTATTAAATCAATAATAAGAATATTTACCAATTGATTGAAGTAACAAGCACGCCAGGACACGACCGCCATTGCAACTTCAGCTTGACCACTATGACGCTGTTGTTATCTTCCCTACCCTTGGCCACTACGGCAAGTACTGTTACTGATCTGTCTCGATTTGTTTTCTCGTGACTTCCGGTTCACAGATAACGTAGGTCTTCATACCAGCATCACCTGAATCATACATATATTATTCAAGTAAAGAAGGTTGGTCAAATGAAGTTATTACAATCACTTAATTGCTCTTTAAGCTCTAGCCACAAGATCAATCATACTATAAAACATTAGAACAGTAGTACTGTACAAGCTGAATAAATTGCTATAAACTTTTTGCAAACTCAGATAGCTATTGAATAAAATTCCAACCTTTAACAAGTAGAACTAAAATAAATCTCAAGAATTAGAATAATTCATTATTTATAAATAATTTATTAAATCAATAGTAAGAATATTTCCAGTGATTGTAATAGTAAGTTGTAACGGGTGGGCGCTTGCACATTTACCCAAAAGCTCGAACTATTGAGTAGTGCTGCATACCCACCCATTTATACCCAATCACTTTCCCATCCGATTCCGATATGGGACAAATGACCCTTGTTACATAAGCACACTACCCAGGACATGACCACCATCCCAATTTGTTACCCTCCCTCTCATCGTCTCTGGCACGCTATGAAAGGAGTGCAAAATTACGTCCCCACACTATAGAGAATAAGGAACTTCTCAATTTTACAACTTTAACATAGTGCTAAGTTTTTTTCCCCCTCTTTAGAATAGTCAACATAGTGTCGTTGCATCATAACAATGTAATATGGATTTGCAATCCATAAAGAGTGAAATCTACTGAAATTAGAAGAATTCAATCACTTGAAGTTTTTGCAATCAAGACATGGACAGGAGATAAAAAGAGTATATATAGTGTAAGACCCTGAACATCGCCGTTAAGAAACATTACCTTGAGATCATGTTACAAAGGCTCTATAATGCCACCACTAAACATGACAATCGCCGCAGGTGGCCACCACAAGCTCCTCCTTACCAGTACCACAACCGCCATTGACCCGTTAATATTTGTTAATGTCATCTCTTTCTCATACATCTAATTTCTTTACTATAATGGTGTTCCAAACATTTGCTTGATTCTTAAATTATCTTTTTCTTCAACATTATGAATATACAATTTTATTCGTGTGACTTTACATCTCCATATGAGAATCCAAGTAAATATTACAAGTATTAATCACCACCAAGGGATTAGTCCACTAAGTATTTTTCTCTCTTTTAGAATGAAAAGTTGACGGTTTGGCTCTCCAATGAGAGGGAATTCGAGAGAACAATGGACGTTTGCGCTCATTGTCATCGTCTTTGGCAAGAGCACGAGTTCGGACCTTTGCAAATCACTCATCAATTTCTTAGTTGCCATTAATTTAAACCTGATAGGCTCGATATGAGTTAAATCTGTGTAATGCAGTTTTTCTTTTTTGGTTCATTCAGTTTCAAGAACCGACTCATCATATTGCTTTCGATCCAAAGTAGCAAGGGTTCTTGCAGTTTCAAGAACTGACTCATCATCTTGCTTCCGTTCCAAAGAAGTAAGCTAGGGTTCTTGTCAAACTATGTTTATCACAACACCAGCACTTGTAAGACATGCACAATGATGCATATGTGTAGCTTTACCTTTGTGTGTGTATTTATGCATTGTTTTTAACGCTTGTTAAGACTCAGAAAAAAGATTAGTCTTCCAATAGCTAGCTATTCCACCCCCGTTATGCATTAAGCTTTAATAACCACCTTTTGATAAAACACTAATAATTCACGAACTTCTGACAATGAATGTGCCCAAATTATGCAAGGTCTAAGTTTTCAAGAAAAATGTCAAATGAATTTTCAAATTAAAAACAAAAAAATTGGATCATACATGCAAATGGGCAATACCATCCAGTAGTAAATATGCTTTATCTGTATCCATTGTACCAAAGTTCTTTTCTATTCTTTCCTTACAACACCCAAACACCACCACCTCTTCTTTCGTTCCTCCCTATAGCTCACACACAAAATGTGAACTTAACCAATAACTTTGACCCAAATGAAAGCATTGTTTTCTTGGTTCCAGGTTGATGCCCAACATATTGGCTGCTAACTAAAAGGAGCTCAAAATTGATAAACCTTGACAACAGGGTTTTCTCATCATTCTCGTGGGTAATGCCAATGGTCCAAAGCGGCCCATGGATTCTTTTCCAATTGAGAAGTTGTGCTCCTTGCACCAACAGGTAGGTACCAAGTTGCAAATTGACAGAGGCGCTTTAATTTGAACTTGGTAATCATCTAGTTCAACAAACTTTTCAGAGGTTGTGAAGATAGAGCAATGCTATACAGGAGAAAGAAACTGTATTTTCTTACATGCAAGCGAATAGAATCCACACTAATGTATACATGAATCCTCTTGTACCGTGATGCCTATAGATAAGAATATATGGTTGAATCCACACTATTCTTTTTCGATTTATGAAAACTGTTCCTGACATTTTTATATTCCACAATTTTCTGAGTACAAAACTAGATGCATCGGTACTTTTTAGATTAATAATGATTAGTATGAAAATAGATGTGGATGACGCTTTGAAATAGTAACAGTTTGCCTATCAAAAATATATATATGCTGTAGCAAAAGAAATAATAATACTGGTACAAATACATATATGTAGTCACAAAACAATGGAAGATGCGACATATTGGCTTAAAGACGGCAAAATACGAAGTAATTTTTTATTTTTTTTCCCTATTGTTTTAACAAAGAATTCAAGAAGATTTGAATCCTTCGCCTTCTGTTTTTTTTTAAAAGAGGAGATAGCACTAGACATAAAAAGAAGAAATGCCACCAAACTACGTGCCTTGATGAATACAAAGATGTCCAAAAGTTGAAACCAAACCCCATTTTGTGAAAAGAACGATATATTTGTACCAGATAGAATTTTTTTCATCTTTAGTGGCAATAGATTTTTCGTTTCTTTCAGAAGTCAAGCCAGCAGATTCTTTACATAGTGTTATGGGCATGGTTTGATTTCAAACAAACTGACAAATCAGAGATTCAATGTAAATATGATCCCATATAATGCAGGTTTTTAACAGCTTAAACACCAAGATGCTAATGTCCTTGCCAAGATGGTATGATACGGACATGTTTTGATTTCAAACAAACTGACAAATCAGACGTTCAATGTAAATATGATCCCATATAATGCAGTTTTTTAACAGCTTAACATCAAGATGCTAATCCCTTGCCAAGTTGGTATACTATTTTTATATCTATTTTTTTCAGAAATTTAGGAATAAGAGTAGGAGTGGAGGAGTTCTAGGAATAGGAGGGTGGAAGAGACTAAATTATTACTTTTTTATTTTTTTCAGAATTTTTGGAATACAAATTCTTGGAATTAGAGTATTTCCCAGTTATCGCAACACATCATAAGATTTTTTGGTAGTAACAAATTATGCAGAGTTTTGAATGCTCTAACCCTGAAAGAGGTTAATTTCTTATGTCTTTATTACTATTAGAAGACCCAGTTTGCATTATGTTTTTCCAGAATCTATAAAGCAGGGCAAACTTTATATGAATTTTACTTTTGTCTTAGTCATATTTCGCATATATACATCATTAATTGTACCAAAAAAGAAGAAGTGCAATTCAAGGTTCAAGTCTCAGCTTAGCTTCTCATCGATGGCATTTTTGTGTTGTACACCTGATAGTTCTCGTTACCAAATTACAAGTAATGAATAATTAGTTAAAAGACTTGAATTATCACATAATTTAATAATAATTAAATAACTTTTTATGAGAATTACAAATGAACATTGCCACTTTAATATATAAAACAACAAAGTCATGGTTTTCACGTCTTTATTCAATCATTAAACCAAGAAATTCAAGGTCTTAGGATCATGTTTGCTTCATCAAATCCTTGATGATTTCTCATGGTTGAATTTAAAAGTAATTTTATACCCTAAAAAAACCTGTTATTTGCTATTGATCACCGCGAGATAGATTATAATTCTGAATCAGCTTCATTTCAGTTTAACTAATATGAGAATGACCTAAACTATAGTCATCATTCTTTTATAAAGGTCAAACAAATTTGTTTTCCAACTTCATGCTACATAAATTGCATCTAATAAAAAATCTACGATAGTTGACATGCATTATTGGCATCCTGCAAATGTTATAAATACCAACATAGAATACTTAATTAACAAACAAACAAACAAACAAACAAACAAAAAGTCTCAACGGTTCTCTTTGTCTTCAAGCTTATGATTCTGTTTTTCATTTTCATAATTTTGTGCATTCGTTTCGACCTCTAATGCGAACCATTTTGAAGACCACCAAAAAACATACCTATCTTTTACCGACACCGCTCATTCCAATTAGTTTTTCTCTTCCAACAAGTAAACCTAGAATTTGAGAAAAACAAAAACATTAATATTTTGTAAACATGGATGACTTAAACTAGCATCACAATCATAAGAATATAAAGCATAGTAACAACCACAAAAGTAAAGAACTTACTCTTTTGATATAATACATAAAATTGGAAAAACATATCATTATAGACCTTAAAAAGCGAGAAAAGCATGAAACCGCAGTGAAATTAATTACCTGAAGACTGAGGAGACATGACGACCCTTTGATTGGTAATTGTTAGAGCCAAGATTTTAATCTAACCCCAAAAAAGTAAAACGACCAATTGATTAGGGTTTGCAAGAGAGTTTTATACAAACCTGCATTAAAACCACAGATTTTTATATATATAATATATAACTTTCTAAATAACAAGTATATATAATTATAAAAATCACATATTTAAATATAAAATTTTGAGAGAGCAATGATAAAGAGATGGAAGAGTTCTCACCAGACTCTAAGCCGTGGTCACAAAAGGAGAGGGAGATTAGAGAGAACCCACCGCCAATGTAGCGAAAGGGAGAGAGATCAGACAGAGAACGACAGATAGAGGTACCAGAAGAGAGAGGATAGAGAGAACCCACCGCCAATGTAGAGAGAGAGGGAGAGAGATCAGACAGAGAACGACAGATAGAGGTAAGAGAGAGGAGATCAACGAAACAGTACGTTCAAGGAAATGTTGCCACGAAAGCTGATACGTGTCGCAGGCCTCTGACACGTGTTGCATGCTCTGATTTCTCTAGAACTAGAAGAGATTGATTTCATTGACGCTACTTATAGTTACGTGTTACTTTGAAATCACTTTCGAAAATTATTATCATTTAAATGTTGTTTTTTTTTTTTTTTCTCAAACTCCAACTGTTATTTTTAGACATCTGACACCATATAAAATAATTTAAATAGCCTTTGACTTTGTCAAAAAAAAACTTTAACTTATAAAAAATATTAAAAGACTAAATTATCCCTAAATATTTTACAAATTTACAATTATATATATATATTTGATGTACTATATACAAAAATATATAATTATTATCTTCATTTATAATTCAGAATATCTATTACCACCTACATAATCAAACTAACCCCATCAACTACATGCAATTAGTTTTAATTGATTTTTGGGTTAAGTACAAAAAATTCCCCTAAACTATTGAGGTTTTGCAACTAACCCCCCTGAACTACAAGAAACCCCCATGAACTATGAATTTATTGCAATTTGCCCACTCAGGCCGCTGGAACAGAGAATGACGAAACTGCCCTTCTAATAAAACGGCGTAGTTTCGCATGATCTCAGTTTAAGTTATTGACGTGGCAAAACAATATCAAACCAACAAATAGAATTGCAACAACACAACAATTTTATCTCTTTTATCTACATCACCCACACAACAACCAAACCTTTAACTTAACCTTCCTTCTTCTTTTTTTTTTTCTTCGGGGAAGGTAACCCAACCTTCCTTTTATTTTTATTATTATTATTTTTTTGGGCAAATCAGCCTTTGGCCAAATCATGGACGACAGTGCAAAAAAGGAAGCCATTGAAGTCGGAGGAATGGTGGTGCTTGCGGCGATTATGAAATCAACAGGTATGAGCGTAGACAGAGCACGAGCGATCATTAGACGGCGTAATTGCCCTTCGCCTTAGCCACGCCTGCTCCGGCGGCCATAATTGCTCCGCTTCAGTCACTTGAGGTGGAGCAATTGGGTCTCAATCTGAAATTAAATTCGGTCGCGAGTGTGAAGACGGAAAAGGGGTGTGTCGCCGGTGAAGTTAGGGTTCCGACGAGGAGTAGTGTGGTACTGTTTGGGTTTCACTGTCGTTGTCGGCCATCACTGTAGAGAGATAGATAGAGGGAACCATAGAAATTACAGCCTCGAAGGCCGTCGCCGTCGTCGTCATCTTTGAACGTTCTAGCCAACGCCTCGTGCTCCATCGGAGTAGTCATCGACCGAGGACTGGCAGAATCCGACAACTTTGCACGTCAGGATGTTGCATTATAGCAAAGCCTGTTGTGTAAAATTGCAGATGGAAATTTGGTTCACTGCTGGACTGACTAATGGGTTTTGGATTCTACTTATTTGAAGCCTAGTTGTTATATATATATGTGTGTGTGTGTGTGTGTGTGTGTGTATGTATATAAATGTGTCTGTGTATATATAACAGGTGTATAAGAGTGTGTTTGGCTTTGTGGGAAAAAAAGAAGCTGTGTATGGGTGTGTAATGGGCACAATTAGGGGCAATAAAGTCTTTTCAAGCTTATAAGGGTATTATAGTCATTAAGTTAAATATTGAGGGTCACGTGACAGGCACATGAGCGTTTCACGGCAAGTTTGGATCGGATTCCTGCCGGATGGAGTCATCTGCAACAAAATTGAATAGTCTAGGGGGTTAGTTGCAACTTTTGTAGTTCAGGGGGTTAGTTGCTGATTTGCCAATAGTCCAGGGGTTTTTTTTTTTGCATTTAACCCTTGATTCTTTTGCCCCTTGTGATTCATTAGGTATCCGAATTTTATATTTTCTTCATAGTAGTTTAAAGCCTCCAAACAAGCCACAGATACACCAAAAGTTTAAAACCTTTATGCAAGCTTTCAACTATTTTAATCCACTTTCTAAAAAACAAAGGATCCAAGCAATCTCAAAATTCTGAAAACATAAACCTCTATCTCAAGCAATTAACTCATAATGAATAGAATAATAATACAAAATTTATAACCGGTTGTGTCACACACATAACACTTACAAGACATAGCATGATATCCAAGTTTTTTAAAGAAAAAAGACAAGGGGAGATGGTTCCATAAACTGAATTAATATATATATATATATATATATATATATATATATATATATATATATATATATAAAAGATATTAAATAGTTTTATGTTATGCTCTTTGTCCTAATTTGTTGGCATACTATCAATATCATGCATAAAATGTAACAATATAAAAACCGTAAAATCAGTAGACATAATATGCGAACTTGGCACACAGTGGAGAGTTATAAGGTCATACTTCGATCATTTATGAAATGCTAGTATAAGTTTCCTCTAAAGTATGGCGGAGAAGTATCTTGCAGATAATATAAATAATATGTTGCTTATACGAACTTCTAGGTCACAAATAAGATGTTTCAAGTAATAGCTTAACATTAATTGTGCAGTTGAATTTCTTAACAAATAAAACCCAAAATGCAATTATTCAAACTTCAATGTCTAATTGTAAAGAGCCCCATAGTCTCATGTTGGCACTCTATGTAACAACTTTCAGGCATAAAACAAAACAAATTGAGGACATCAGAAAAGCAACAAGCATATATATATATATATATATATAAAGGTGGGAAAAGGTAGAAAAGAAATCACTCACAGCACAACGCCATCCATGACAATTGGTATTTTGTGGGGTAGAAGGTAAATTTTTTCCAATAGAGTATATGCTTCAAGCTGATCCACTATCCTGGACACTCTGATTCTCACACATCGAATGAGGGAGTGTTGCCCACCATCAGTTTCATCAACCCAGATTAAAAATAATTCATCACCGTGGAAATGAAAGAGAAGTGTGGTGAACTCCCAGTTGTGATAGAAATTTTTAGTGAGCAGTATAATCGAGCCATCGATGATCCATTTTTAGATTAAATAATAGACAATGATGCCGCCTTTTTCCTTAAGGATCCAGATCCAATACAAATTATCGTAAAAAAATAAAGGTATGAAAAATGTGATCCCTGAACTTCTATGGAGGCCAACATCTAACAAATTCAGAGCACCTACAACATTCTTATGAGGTGGCTCATACTTGAGGATGACTCCAGCATAGAAAAAACCCAAAATGATCTTAGAAGCAAAATCATTGGCAGCAACAGCGAAAAAACCATCGTCGGCTCGAAACTTTAACTTACGATCAAACCAACCACACTTCACTTCAATTGTATTTACTATCCTATTCTGCTTGAGACTAAAAACTTCACACTTTGTGAGTTATGATGAGACTCTATTGGTGAACCAAAAAGATAAATGTTGTCACCAAGTGGCACAGTCGCAATCACCCACCTATTTTTTTGGTGAATGGTAGAAAGTAGATTCCAATAAAGGCCAGCCGTTGGGATTTCAGGAGCTTGTACAGAGAGAATATTCCGACCATTTGGAATGGCGTAAATGGTGGAGCCCAAAGATAAACAAGCACAGTTTAACTAGGGCATGAAAGTTTAGAGATTGGATGGATGGGAGTCATGGTCATGTTTTGCAATCCTTCTGCTATTTTCTTTCTTTTTTAACTACTCATTCTCTTAGGATTATAATTGTAGTATCTGTCGTAAACATCCATGCTTGACATATTGAACTTGTACCACTCGACTTCCTCCGTGACGAGGTCTCTCGAACATTGATGCGTAAAAACACTGTTTTTTCAACCTTTTCCTCTTGCAATAACTCATGTCTCATTTGTTTCTCATTCTTCATCTTACGTATCCCAAATTCAACAAGTTGCCCAAACATTGACATGATTGATTAATGTAAGTAGGTTTGCCGAAAATGCACTTCTGATTTACTACATATAAAAGCAATACACAGTTGTTTGAGTCCGTCCAAAAATTGTTTTGGAAGCAAAATCTACAAACAAATAGAGAATGTTGAATGAGAAAAAAAAAAAAAAAAAAAAAATTGATCCAGATCAATTTTTTTCATTTGAAAATGGATAATGAAAACATTTGGATCCGTTATCGGGTCACTTCTCGAGTTACTCGTTGACACACTGGATTCTTCAAAATTCGGGTCGTTACATTAATGCGGAAGCTAAGTTAAAAAGGTCAAATGGTACCCTATGGTGCCAATGACACTCTAAGAAACATGGACTAAATCAAACTAGAACATGATTGTTATAAGATAGCTCAGACAAAGTCAATGATAAATGTTTGAAATCATAAGAACGGTACTAACATACATGGACAACAATTCAAATAAAGTTGACAAGGCAACAACATTTTGGTCTACCAAAATGAGCCCAAATGGAGGCCACAACCACCCAAAATGGTCGACCGGTTGTAGCTTCCATTTGGGCTCATTTCGGACGACCGAAATGCCATTTCGGTTGTTGTCGACCGAAATGCTGTTACATTGTCAATGATAAACGTTTAACCTTTTTAACTTAGCTTTCGCATACCATTTGACCCTTTTAACTTAGCTTCCGCATTCATATGAGGACCCGAATTTTGAAGACCCCGGTGTGTCAATAAGTAACCCAAGAAGTGACCCGATAACGGATCTATGAATGCGGAAGCTAAGTTAAAAAGGTCAAATGGTACCCTATGGTGCCAATGACACTCCAAGAAACTTGGACTAGGTCAAACTAGAACATGATTGCAATAAGATAGCTTAGACAAAGTCAATGATAAACGTTTGAATTCAGAAGAACGGTATTAAGGTACATAGATAGCAATTCAAGTAAAGCTGACATGGCAACAGTATTTTGATTAACCGAAAGGCCATTTTGGTCTTCCGAAATGAACCCAAATGGAGGCCACAAGGTCGACCATTTCGGGTGGTTGTGGCCTTCATTTAAGCTCATTTCGGACGACCGAAATGGCACCATATGTAACAACTTTCAGGCACAAAATATAACAAATTGAGGACATCACAAAAACAACAAGCATATATATATATATAT